CTGTGTGCCTTTGAGCTGGTTTCATAAAGAGGAGCAAAGGTATGCGAGGGAACGCACAACAAAAAATAATAACTTCCCTTTCTCCTTCTCCTTCCTTTCTTGCGTCTCTTTGCAGGTTCATGAAACCAGCACCCATGTTTCTTGATCGAAACTTCAAACTTCTTGCAAAAGTCAGCAATTACTTACCTCCGTTTGGATTCAAAACACAAGGTAAGAATGGTTCTTGCTATCTGTTACCTTCTGTTTGTGATATCTATTGCACTATCTACTGTATTTGTTTAACGCCTCAAAGGATGTTGCCTATACAATAAAATTACTAGTATTAGATTTGATCCGGTGTTTGACATCGGCTGCGTGTTACAGTATGCTGTGCCTGTGATGCCTGGCATCTCAGAGTAATAAAACATCTGATTGATTTGGCACCAAGCCCAGATTTGTGTGTTTTTAATATTGCCCAGATGATTTACAGTTTTATCAAACAAGTCCAATATTTGTATTTTTAAGTAAGGGCTGCCAACCTTGTTCCCGTATCCTTATTCATCAGCTGGCTTCCCCTACTCTATCTGCTTGTCATCATTGTAAATTCTGAGACTGTTAAACAAACTGTGAACGTCTCTTATGAGGCAGGTTTTCTGCAGTCTAATGTTCCCACTGAAATTCATTTTGTTGCTTCTTTGAAAAGATTGTGAGTAGCTATTCAGAAGTATGAAATCAAGCTGGTTATTTTGTCCACATACCTGCTCTTTTTAAACTCTCCCCGAGGTTTCACGCTGATGGTTCAGCTGCTTGGAATGCCAGTGTCACCACTTAGCACTTTTCATTATTTGTCATCGTTGCAGGGCTGATGCTTTTGGCTGAATATAATCTGCCTAAGGTTTCAGTTTGTTACTCTGCCTTATCATAAATTAAGAGTAAGGGAGAAATGTCATCCATTACGGTGTAATTTAACTCACATACAGTATTTGCCAAATGTATGCTGTCACGAAAAAGAAATGGGACAGGGTTTGTTTTTGAAAGCTGAGATTTCAGATGAAATGGCTAAACAGTGCAAGGAATTTTCTAATATTTGCAGTATCCATGTGTTAATGTATTGAATTTTGGATCCAATTCCTGGTTGGCTAAATACTCAGAATTGTAAAAACCTGATGCTAGCCTTTCTCATATCAAGCCTTTTATCTGTCCTCACGCTTTTTTATTAGCAAAGGGCAATGGAAAACAGAGAGGCAGCAGGCACATTCGTAATGTTCTTTAGTTAATGTCATTACTGCAGCTGGTGTCTGTCTTGATCAAACATCACTTTTGAGTGATAAGAAACATGTCTCTGTAACACCTCTTGGTCTGAGTGGACTGTGCGGGTTTTTTTTATATTCAGTAATGAAGTGACAGTGGAGACTCTTCTTTAAACTAGAAAAACAATCTGATCGACTCTTCAGCTAAATGATCTCAATCAGGACCTTCAGTTTTTTGAGTTAGTAGCAGAGTTAGTGCAATAGTCTACAGCTGTTTATTGAAGATGTCAGATACATTTCACTAACCTTTCAAATGTTGCTCACCTTTGAACTAACCTGCTATATTAAATGGATGTTTTACTTTGGACAGTTATAAGCCTCAAACTCTGACTCTGCTGGTTCTATAACCTTCTGACGTAAATCTTAAGTTCTCTTAATAAAGTGTAAAATGTATGGCCCTTAGTGATATTCATTTGTTTCTTAGATGAATTCTATCTTTGGACCAGGGAACACGTACGTCTCCCAACACTCCAGCTTTAATGTTTCCACACACACTGCGTGTACTTGTTCCCTGACCTTAACACACTCCAGCACTTCAGATATCAAACCAGCACACAATGCCATGGGAACTGAAGAGATAACATTAAACTGACTTCAGTGACATGCTCTGTCACATATTTTCCAATACTTAGAAGGTACAGTGAATGTTACCTTTGTGCTCTGTGCAAGTTCTCCGCTGTCACATGAACACACCCAGACACACACACAGTTTGAGTTGCTATCAAAAGAGCACACCCTGTGTGAGTGTTACACCTGGTTTCTGTTTTCTCCACGGACTGCCATGGCACTGGGGTTTCCCTTTTAGCGGTACTCATGTGGAGAGAGGATACGTGTGGATCCTGAATAGAACGCCACAAAGGATTCCAAATGGGAACATGGAGTGGCGGAGGTGGACGGGAGGTTTATTTTTACTTTTTATTTTACCATGAGGTATCTTTGGCTTGGATCAACCACATCATCAACATTAAAGCTGTTTTGATTCGGTCTCAGAGAAAGAAAATAACGTCAGCTCTGCAGGATGCCAGTCAGCCACTGAACAGTCAGTTTGAGTAATAGGCTATATTTTGCACCAACTGTTATTTTGGTTTTGTTGCTTTTTGTAAAATGAAACCAAATTATATCTCTTTCCAAATTTCATCCAAAGAGAACTTTAGTAAATAAAAAAACAATAATCAGCAGCCAAAGAATTATACAGAAAAAGGAATTGACTCAATATATTTGGAGAAAATCAACATTTGGCTATAGAGATTTAGCTAACGGAAATAAGCCTTTATGCATTATTTCCTTCTAGCAGTTGTTGAGTGCAATGTTTTATTTATTTTGATTAATAATTATAGGAGTTTGATGTTATTGCACTGCTTTTTCTTTTGTGTAACATGAGACAAGAGCAGGTGCACAAGTCTATGAGTACCTTCATAAAACCACTGTTAAATATATGAAATAGTCACCACAAAAACACATTTGCTTAATTTCAGCAGGGCCTTGAGTATTGAACCTAAATGTCTTTTCAATAACAGTTTCTCTTACATTTTTCAGCAGATTGATGAATCATATTTCTGGGCAATTGGGTTTTCACTGTGGACGCGATTGTTTGTTTCAGTCTCAATTTCCCCCAAACTGAAGTCCCAAACAACTTTAGAATTATTAAGGATGCAACATGGTCCAGCCAGAAAGATGTTGAAAAGTGCTACCATATTTTATTTAACGTTTTCCGGCGTACAAAGTTCAAATAAAGACTGTACCACTTTGGTCCCTACAGATATGTTTCAAGATTTAGTTATAATTATCTTTGATAAACGAGTCAACGCACCACAGTCAAATTATAGATGTTTCCCATTTTTAACCATGGCAGTTGATGCTGAGTAAAAAGTCAACCAAAGAGCAGCTCTGACAAATATCTCTCGCTATCATCACAATATTCTTTTCTATTGTTTAGACTACGCTCTTCCCAACAATGTGTCTGTGTTTATGTGTCACAAGATGCTTCCTACCTTCCACTGTTACCACTAAAGATTTTTGCCATTTCAAGAGTTCCTTGTTGGACCAAAGTCTGAACCTACAGCCATTCGTCTTCGGCTCTACCAGGAGACATACTTTGCTGAAATGTTTACCCCGGGTACTTATAACAATTAGCTTCCATGTCGTCCTCTGGAAGAGAGTCCTGCCCATTGTGATTTTTCACTTTTCACCCGCTTGGATCCAGGTGTGGTCCTCGGCGTGTGTTTATGCTGTTCGGGGTGATGCTTGATGCCAGACATCGACACCACATCCAAACAATGGGCTGTTGCTCTGCTCGCCTCTCCTCGGCAGGTTAATCATTAGGATCGTTAGCCCGGGTGAATGGGGCTGCAATATGTCTCACAGTCCCAGTCCAAACTCTGCCTTGACTCTCACTTTTTCTGTTTCTCTTGGCCCCCTTTGCAGATTGTGCTATATGGTGATTATATGAAGTGAAGTAGAGACAGCCATAAAAATGCCTTTAACTTTTATTAAATGTGACACAGGGAGATTTATTTTCATGCAATAAATATAATAGAATTGATTGGAATAGAAAACCTTTATTGTCATTGTACTTAAATATACAACGAAAAAGGACGAATGATTAACTGCTATAATTAAATCCAAAGACAACCCTTCTTTGGTGCGTCTGCATAACTGCAAACGTAACTTGGAACAAAGATAGTAACAACTGTAATGGATTCTGCACATTTTGGACGTCGCAATGATGAATTAAAAGCATGAGAGGCCTAAAAATGGTCAGGAGGTGGGGGGAGAAATACATGTAATATCTAATACAGGAAGCATGAGTCGAGCAGCATGCCCCGTAGAACATGGCAGGAATGCGCGCTATGGCTAAACATCCCCGATTCTCACCCTGCGATCAGAGGGGTGCTGGCCGCGCAGAGAGACGAGCTCCACATCGCCCACTTAACCAGGAGAATGTGCTTGTTTGAAAACAGCATTCCTCCCTGAGTGCTTTTATGGGAGAGTTTCTACACACACACGCATACCATCCCAAACCCTGTATGTCTGTTTCTACCACTCCCCTCAAGAACACAACAGCTTTCTTCTCTCCATCATCCCATCAGCACTACTTTTGCGGTGCTGATTGGTCGCTCCTTATCTGTGACTGAATAAACGGAGAGAGGAGTTCTCTCCTCCAAAGGTCTTCAGACCACCTAGATTGCTTTATTTCTAGTGGTATATCAAAGTCCTTGGCAAGGAGACATTCCCTCACTTGTCTTCTTCTCATTTCATCATTAAAGTCCATAAAGAGTGCTTAAGGTAAAACCTGAATTTGGCTTTAGTTGTACCAAGTCTCCAATTCATTGCCAAGAAAGCAATTATCCAACGATATAAAAATACACAGACTGCTTCGGAGAAAGAAATGACCTGTTTAAGTATTTATATTTGGCACGCTCATGTAAGAACTGAAGGTGACATGGTATCTGAATTGTCCTCTCACCATGGATGCTGCTTTTTTCCTTTCCTCTGCAGAGAAAGTCATAGACAGCATTCTCACTGCCACAAAATATTACGGACTCGGGGAGCATCTGGACAGGTAATTTTTGCTGCTCACCCAACATCAGCAGAAAAGTCCTGTTTTGTCTATCCATCACTTCTTCATGTTACTAACGTCTGACTCTGCTTCCCTGCAGTCTCAGCTGTAAAAGATGCATCATTGTGGGCAACGGGGGAATCCTGTTCAACAAGTCTCTGGGCTCCCGTATAGATGAATACGATGTCGTAGTGAGGTGAGAATATATATTATATATACTGTATTTATTATTATTATGATATATCTTGTTTATTTTGATACTGTCAGTCATGCACAACCCTCAGAATATTTACATAAAGCTACCCAGCTTTCCACATTTCGTTACAATACTGCACATTTTATTATATTTTTCCGAGTCATATTATACTGTACGTAATTTTTGTAATATTTCTCTATATTCTAGTGTTATCATTTAAAAAAATATATATTTTGTATAATTGTTTTACTTTTGGGTCATTTTTTTCTTACACTTCATCTTTAATGAAGTGTTTATGTTTATGTTTGTACCATATAAGTCAAAGCTAATTCCTTTACACAGCTTTCCGCTTTTAGTTTAATATTCCACATTTTATTTTATTATCCCGAGTATTATGTCATATTATATTGTACGTAGTTTTTAGGTATAACTATATTTCATGTAAATATTTCTCTATATTTGAATGTTATAATTGTTTTTTTTATATTTTTGTCGTTGTCTTACAATGTATCTAGTTGAACTGTGTTTATGTATGCACCATATACATCAGGGGGAAATTCCTTGTACCTATTAACCTACTCGGTTTACTTTCTAAAGCAGAATGGTCAAAAAAATGCTTCGAATATGAATGTTTCAGCAATTTGTCGCCATATACATTGTGGAAACACTATACAATAGGGATGCTCCGAAGAGTTAGACCTAACACACTTAGCTATTATCTACCTCTGGAACAAGCTAAACTAGTTATAAATATATTTATTCTTCACTGTCGGGTCACTCATTACTGGATCAGTGAGCTGCATGAGACGATACTGACAGGCTGTCAGGAGAGGGAGAGGGGGAGAGAGAGCGCTTCCGCACGTTTCTCCCTTGTTATTATCCAAAGTTAATGTAAACTTGAATAATGTACTTCATTTGAATGTAATAATTATGTTGGTTGTTGTTTGTGGAAGCGCCAGTGAATGAGCCCAATTAACTGAGTTTTAAACATCACTTTAAATCGCCCACTCGATCGGTATCGGCCCCAAAATTGGCGATCGGAGCATCCCTACTATACAACAAGGCAACACTTTACCAATATGTGAATGAACAACAGTTAATAAATAAAAAGAGAAAACATCCCAGGTGCTTAACTTCTGTGCCATGGGCTTTTTTAACCCAAATCCCAGTCACTAAGACATTGTTTTGTTGTGCTGGCAGGTTGAATGAAGCCCCGGTAAAAGGTTACAGCAAAGACGTGGGGACCAAAACCACCATTAGGATTACCTATCCAGAGGGAGCGATCCAGAAGAGCGACAACTATGAAAAAGACTCCCTTTTTGTTTTTTCCGCTTTCAAACCACTGGATTTCAAGTGGCTCAGACAGATGGTCTTTAAGGAGAAACTGGTAAGGATTTTTCTTTTTAAATCATTAAAGGTTAAAGAGAAAATCGTGAACACATTAAACATGCATGAACACAACCCTGAAATATCTAATAGGAATGATGACTCACAGCACTGCGTCTCATCAGCTGTCTTCCTCATTCAGCATTCTTCCACATTATGTCTGTGTTGGACCTGCGCTCACGGAATTACACTTTAGAGAATTTCTATTTCTGAATTTGTGAGTTATGTGTTTTGTTTTAGCAGATCATATCATTCCAACCCCAGATCACATTCTGTACATTCCTTCCTGTGGAAATGTAAGCCGTTTCGTAAATTATTTGAGAAGACGACTTGAATCTAAACTAGATAATACAGTGTTTTAGATGGTTTGCTTTTATGTGGAAAGGACAGTTGTATACAAGTTATGTTGTCTTCTTTCTCCGGCACCCGAGTGGATTTTCTTCATTATCCTTTGTCGTTTTCTCATCAATAATAATACTGATTATTTCCTAACCTGTTTTCACATTTTTTGATTAATTTACCTCAAAAATACATGACCATGACTCAAAAATACAAAATATTCTCAGTGAACTGGCCTCCTAATCTCGAGGGTCAGACTGAATGACAGAGCTGGCTTATCTTTTTTAAGTACACAAGGCTTGTCTGTCCTTTTTATATCCATTGTCACAAAAAAAGCTCCTATAAGCACTTTCATTTGTTCTTGTTGAACAGTCTCTAGTATCACTAGTGAGGTTATTTTGGGTCCATTCAACTCCAGGATGGCAGGAGTATTCAGTTAAAGCTCTTTATGAAATAAAAAAAGCATTTTAATAAAATGTTTTATACATGGAAGGACCATACTAGTGTCTTGCTTAGTCCATTTACTAGAACTGACTGTTTTCAAAAGAGTGTTTTAATATCTTTAACGTTTTATTTCAAACCATACCTCTTCCAATTTATCTTAATGACATATTGGTTTCCCAGTCAATTTTAAATTTAGTATAAAATAACCTTATGGTTTTTTAATTGTCTGCAATTACATCACAGGTGCTGTGTAGCAAATGGGCTGAACCATTTAAAAACACATTCCTAAAGGTCCATACAGGCAGAATAGCTAAACTAATTTACTCCTTTCTTCGTGAGGGATGCCTCCGTCTAATATGGCAAACGAGAATTAAAGAAAAATGCTTTATTTTCCAGCACAGCTGTGTGACTTTAGGGAAGGAGCTGCCAGCTGGGGATTTCACAAGGTGACATTTGTGATAATCGTATGAGTGAGAAAGGAAATGTAGTGGAAAGCACAATACTGTTATAATAGGCGATGGAAAGGGCATGCAATGATAAGCTCAACCAAGAAATGGTGTGAAGCTGGATTAAAGGTTGAAAGAATGGAAGGAAGCTAGATGGAAAGGATAATGTGAAATGGGGTAAAGGGATAATAGCTGGGGAAAAGAAAATGAGCAGTGGAAGGTAATAGTAAAGTAAAACGGAGGAAAATAGCTTTGCTGGCTGATGGCCCCTTCGGCCTTTGATAGGGCCCAGATTTGTCTGGTGTGTCAGAAAGAGAGGACAGTGGAAATGGCTGCCCGGGATAATTGATCCGGCCCCCGGCGCCTGACTCAGCCCTCTTTGATCTGCGGAGGAAGGAAGAATGTTTCTCATGGGTTAAAAATCAGGGAACAAAAAAAAAAAGTCAGTGTTTGGTCAGAGCCTTGATGATAACATGGAAGAAGAGAACTGACAGATGTGCAAGGACCCAAGCGGACATATTGATAGTTTTCCACAATAGGTGGACATTATGAACATTATCATGTCGTACATACACATAGAAACGTCACACACATATCACACAACAGTTTTTACCCCACATACTAAGACTCTAATGGCAATGTTGGTCAGTTGCTTAAATGTTCTGTATTGTCTTTTCTACCCTGCGTTACTTTTGCCATTAGATATTCTGTTAAAGTATAGGTGCGATTTGTTGTATCAGATGGTTTGTGGACTACTGTATGTCCATGTATTTATTTTATAACGGTAATAAATGCATTTTGTTGTAGGGCTGCAGCTAATGTTCTTTTACATATCGATTCATCTGCAGCTTGTTTTTAATAATTAATGGTTTAGTCTATACATTGTAAACATGTGTGAAACATTTCAGTTTCTGAAAGTCAAAGTTCAATACAATGTTTCCTCAGTAAAGAAATATAAATATATTCCGTTTATTATAATGAAAAACAGTAAAAAGTGGCACCTTTTCTAATTTTAGGAGGGGGTACAGCCGTTTCTGACATTTCTGTATGAAATACGAATTGAGCAATTTCATTAATTGATTAGTTATAAACTCATTGCCAGTGTTAATGAGTTAATTCATATAATGCATCATTTAGACCAACTCATTTAAAGCACTTGCTGATTTAATGAAGCGTCATTAAACACATCTTGAACACATTACGGTTTCATTCGTTCTGATTCAAATTGATCACTTCAGGAGAACGCACAAAGAAACAAGCACTGTGTTAATGTTTACTTTAAAGCAGCATGAAGGCGGACAAAAATGTTGTAATTATAATCTTTCTTAAAAACCACATGTTACCGGGGCAACGGTATGTTGGTTGACTATGGAAAGTGGATTTTCAGTCTCACCACAACATGAAGGGAACTAAAGTCCTTAAAGACTGTTATCCTAGCTTCATTGTGTCAGACTTACACCTAGCCCAGACTAATGCAGTGGAAACATACACATGAAGAGGTGTTTATGTGTGTATGTACATTTCTTATTTTATTTTTAACTCGAGGGACACTTCTCCAAAAAACATACATGTTTTATTTTATTACCAGACAATAGTTATCCTAATCAATAAAAGCAAATTAGTTTATAAAAGAGATATTTCATTCATTAGGATATGCAGCATGACATTGTCACCATGTAACTGCAAGCATCTCTTCCTTTATCCTCACATCCATTCAGTCCATCCCAGACAGAGACATCATGTGACTCAGGACATTTGTCCTTCGGGAGCTTTTACTTCTCTCAGTCCAGCCGAGGGATTTCTTTGTGTACGACGCACACTTGCAGCTGCGAGGGATGCTTTTCACTCTCCTTCTGCGGTTATGAAAGCAAGTGTATGTCCTTCTCTTTTTAAAAGGTTGGTGGGTGGTACACGGTTGTTTTGAAGCCGCAAGTGACTCACCCAGCCAGTTGTGAGAGTGCTCGACTTTCCTGCGCTATTGTGCCTTTTTCCAAATGCCTACAGCGCGTTCTTGGATGGCTGAACTGAATACAAATTAGCGAGGCAGTTTCCCAATCTGTTATTTACTGTTTTTGTACACTCTCAAAAAGACACACTCAAAAACTCCCATTCACTCACACGCACAAGTCTGAGATTTGCAAACTTGACCTTGATCAGATCTCTGGCTTGCAGAAGCAGCTGTCTCTCTGTCTCTGAACGTGTCTCACATTTTAGATGAGTGAAGCTCTTTGCTACATATACAATTACATAGCTGCAGCATCAGAAGGCATCCGACTTCCCTTATCCCTCATTACTGCAGGTAAACCTGATTACCTCTCAGCTTTGTCACCCCGCTTTAAAGTCGGACCCCACAGACGCAGCCGCCTGGTTGATTGCGCAGCTACGCGCTGTTTACAAACGCACTCAAACACGATTTACACAATTGTCGATATTGTCTTTATTCCTATATGTCTAGTTTTCGATTTTGCACTCATGCACAGAAGACCCTCGTGGTTCATGCACACACAGCCACAGTTGTTTGTATATGCGGGGATATTTTCAAACAGAGCCAGCGAAGGATATACAGCCGGTGGTAAACACGGGGTTCCAAGGTGGAGTGCCGGTGTTTTCGCTCTGCTGTTTGTTTACAGGAGCCCTCGCTGCTAAATGATGGATGGAGACAATTTAAGGAAGAGACTACTTCAACTTTAATAGAAAAACAGCCACGGGTTATTAGTCATAGGTTTGAAAATATTGTAGTTAAGCCAATATTTGATAAACATTGCATGTCTCTTCGGAAGAAATTGAGCAAGGAATTACCAAAATAGCCAGTTGCTCCACATCACTGATAATTCCCAATTTACTCCTTTCCCACAAGAATATTGTTATGAATCGTATCCTTTTGTTAATCTCAATATAAAAGCCATGCTTCTCATTTTTAAAGACAGCGTTTTAGAAAAAAATTTGTATTCTAACTCTCTCTAAGGATGCACCGTGGGACAGAAATAACCGCTATAAGGCTTGTTTCTTTTTTTTAAGCCCAGACATCTGTGCAGAAGCCCAAAGTATCATGCATACATGCATTCATAAACATTTACCTACTTGTAAACATGGATTTTGAACATGATCCAAGTGACTAACATAGGGTCCGGATGTCACTGATTACCGAGTGTTGTGTTTCAAAAATGAGTCACCTACCTACTCTTCAGTGATCAACACTCCCGTACTCTGTGTTCCTTTTTGAGTCATATGTTCTGATGCAACGGGTGGGTAATTAGTATTTCAGATTTTGTTTAAAAACGTTATCAACTCAGAATAGGTCACAAGAGGGACTTCTCTAGTTGTTGGCTCCGCAGGCCCTGCTACTGAAACCATGTTGCTCTTACAAGTCTTCGGGGTCACTGTGCTGTCAGGTTTGGGCCCTGTTTGACGTTTGTCGTCATGGGAGTGTGGAGACAAGGGTTTCACACACTGGGTATCCTGCGAGAGGCCAAGAGTGGAGAAACCACCATGACCTCGATGGGTGCAGAGGTCTTGGTATGTTTCAAGAAAAGCAAAGGCGAATTGGTGAATGCTTCAGATTCCTGTGTAACAAACTGCAACAAAATAACCACAGCTTTCCAGAATTCCACCTCTAGGATTTTAGAGACTCTTAATCCCAGGCTGCTAAACCCCTCTCCTTTTCAAACATTCTTTGTGAAATGGTTCTCCTCCAGTGGAGCACTTATGTGGTGAGACACTGTAACTTGTAAACTGAAAGGTCTAACATGTATACAGTGCTAATCACCTCCAG